TAAAACCTCATGGCAACTGAACAAAAAGTTCTGAGCATCCTCTGTCGGTGTTTCACTGAAGGTAAGAGTAAAGAGCCTGGAAAAACGATAAAGTCTCCACAAAGAATCCGCGGACATAACCGCACCATCACTAGTCTGGCCCGCAACAACTGGTTGGGCTACTGCAGTAGGCTGAGCTGGCATAACTGATGGGACTGGCACAGCTGGCTGAACCGGCGCAACTGGAGGAACTGGCACCGTAGGCTGCACTGGAGCAACCTGCTGCACTGGTGGTGCCTCTGGAGTCTGAAATCCCTGCGCCACCAGCTCTGGTATGCGAGCAGCGGGGGTCTGTTGTCCTCCCCCTATCTGTGATGTGGCTACGGCGGCAGTGGCTGAGACTACCTGTGCTAGGCCAGAGCAAGCCGATATAATCTAGGATAGGGCCTCCTGAAGACCCGGAATAACCATAGGTACAACTGGGGCTGGAACCTAATCAACATCAATCGGGGGCTCCATCGCTGGTGTTGCTGCTCGGGGTTGAGCTCTGCCCCTACCACGGCCTCCAGCGCGGCCTCGCCCTCTGCCCCTAGCTGGAGCTGCTGCTGGGGGGCTTCGGGCTGCTGATCAGTAGAAGAGGAAGCTCGAGTTCTCGCCATCTGCGAAGGAATAGAGTAGAAAGACCATCAATATTTGAGAAATGGAATCGCACGACAAGAATGAACAAAGTTAGATTTTTCCTAACTCCGTAGCCTCTGGGGATAGATACAGACGCCTCCGTACCGATCCTCAGACTCTACTGAGTTTGTCCGTGAACTGTGAGACTCAATTAACCTAGTCTCTCTGATACCAACTTGTCACGACCCGAATTTTCCACCATCGGGGTCGTGATGGCGTCTACTGTGGGAGCTAGACAAGCCGCTTAGCAAAACAAACAACTGCGAACTATAGCAAAATATTAAACAGAATCCACAACAAATGATAAAGAAGTCTAAATTTTTAATTAAAGATAAAGGCAACGTGCGGAAGTAAAGACAAATAACATCCTCTACCCAGAAACGTAGTGTCACAGCACACACGGACGGTCTAAGAGATTACTACAACAATAATTTGAAAGAAGAAATACATATTTGTCTGTCTGAAATAATAAACAAACTATAACAGGATGAGACTGGATGGCCTACGAATGTCAGTGAACTACCTCGCAGTCTCTGGACTGAAGGTTGGCTCCCCGACTACTGCTGTTGCTGCTGGATAAACGCCGCTCCCTGATCTGTGCACAAAAAGGCACAGCAAGAGTAGTATCAGCACAATCCGACCCCATGTGCTGGTAAGTGCCTGGCCTAACCCCGGCTCACAAGGTAGTGACGAGGCTAGACAGGACCTACATCGTTAAACCTGTGCAAGATATATATATACAAAGGCAGAACAATAATACAAACTAAATAAGCAACAGGGAGGGGACATGCTATCAGGGAAAAATAGTTAAAGACAGGAACAAACAAGACTAAAACAGTATGACAGAGGAACAACAGAATCTCCAAAATAAATCCAAAGTACATAGTGGACGGCGCGCCACACGATCCCAAGTCTCAAATATGTATATATCAGTGGACGGCGTGCCACACGATCCCAATCTCATGTTTTACAGGTGGACGGCGTGTCATACGATCCCAGATAATAATAGTCAAGTGGACGGCGTGCCACACGATCCCAACATCAACAAATATCAAGTTCTATTCAATGATACAAAGGCTTATCTCAGGAAACACAACAGTTCATATAAGTTCATCAAAACCCGGCAAGGGTACAACTATAAACCAAACATCCCGACAAGGGAGCAACACCCACATAGAGTTCAATATAGTTCGGCAAAGTATCACACTTGAATTCTCCATTTAAGTCATCTAATTCACTTAACTCCAACAATTTATCATATGAGTCGATTCAACAACTAAAATTCATGTTATAGCATCTGACAACTTCAATTAAAGACTCACGGTCATGCTTGACTCGGGCGCATAGATAACTGTCACCAAACCTATACGCCGACACCACATAGCACATAGCAAATAATATCCTAATCCTATTCCCTCAAGCCAAATTTAGATCAAACACTTACCTCGATGCCAAAACTAGCAATTCAAGCCTCTAACACCGCCTTTCCTTTAGAATCCGACTCCCACACAACGATATCTAGGCATAATTAGGTTCAAAATTATCAATAACAACCCAATAACATAATCCCATAACCTAGAAATGCATCTCCTAGCTTTCTTTCAAAAATTCCAAAATCCGACCCCGGGCCCACATGGTCCAAACTCGAGGCTCGGACCAAAATACAATCCCCCATATCCCCACGAGTTCAAATATATAATTAGTTTTTAAATTCGACCTCAAATTGAGGTTGAAATGCCCAAAATCCCATAAGCCCTAGCTAACCCCCAAAACCCTTAATTCTAGCATAAATTCATGTTTTAAGGATTGGAAATTCAATGATTGATAAAGAAATAATGAAGGCATCAAGTTAGAATTGACTTACCCAAAGAATTAGGAAGGTTGGAAGCTTGGATTTTCGCCAATGGAAGTTTTTAGAAGTGAGTTTGAGTGAAAAATAAAGAGTGAGCCGCGGATGAACAGTGCACTGGACTTAAATAATTTCTCTGGGCAATTGGCCTATGCGATCGCGGAACCACGAATGTGATCGCATAGAGATGGGGACACAGGCTTATGCGATTGCATGAAGACAAACGCGACCGCATAGAAGGAAAATGGGGGTCTGGCCAGGATGGGGTCTAACCCTACGCGATCGCGGGTAAGTGAATGCGATCGCACTGTATAAGAACGGGCAAGCTACGCGATCGCAGGCCATTCTATGCGATCGCATAGAGGAAATCACCAGCCTCATGAAATTGCTCTTGCGATCGCGAAGGAGACATTGCGATCACAGAGAATAAAACCACTGGGTAGAAATTGCAGAAACCAGCCAAGTTTTCATGAACCAAAACACCCCGAACCACCCCCGAAAACACTCCCGAGCCCTCGGGGCTCCCAACCAAACACTCATACTAACTCATTAACATCCTACAAACTCGCTCGAGCGATCAAATCACCAAAACAACATCAAATTCATAGAATTAAACCATAAAATCCATATTTTCCAACTTAAAACTTCAAATTTCAAAATTAGCTTTTAGGGTTTGAAACACGTCAAACGACGTCCGATTTCGACCAAACTTTACAAATAGCGCTTAAACACCATATAAGACCTGTACCGAGCGTCGGAACCAAAATACGAGCCCGATACGATAGCTTTCTAATCAATTTTCATTTTTATTATTCTTAATTAATTACAGAAATAATTTTCACAGAAAATTCCATATCTTGGGTCTGGGACCTCGGAATTCGATTCCGGGCATACACACAAGTCCCATATTTTCCTACGGATTTTTAGAAATTGATAAATCACTGGTTCGGGCCCGTTTACCCAAAATATTGACCGGAGTCGACTCTATCAATCTTATACTTATTATTCATCATTTTTAACACAGAATTCAACTTTCATAATATAAAATCTTACCGACTTCGCGCCCGGATTGCGCATGCAAATCGAGGAAATCCCTCAAGAGATTTTTGAGGCCTCAGAAGCACGGAACAAAGGAGAATTATGGTGATGACCCTTTGGATCATCACAGTATTATATGCATTAAGATATGTTTATAAAGTTTCCACTTTCAGTTGTGTAAATAATAATTAATTGTTATTAGTAAAATCGGAAACAATCTTCGCCTTTCCAAGGTAGGGGTAAGACTGCATACATCTTACCCTTTCTAGGCCCCGATGATAAGAAATTAATGGGCTTGTTGATGTAAAGAAGAATCTATGTTAAATTTCATTAAATTTGGCCAAGATCATGTTTTAGAACTTAAGACCAAATAGATGGACTTAATATCAAGAAGCGCAAAAAGTCCAAGAAGCTCAAGATTGATTTCAAGAAGCCAAGATTCTTTCCTTCTTAAAATAGGATTTATTTTATTCCTTTTAGAATAAGGATTTTCCTTTTAGTAGGATTCTAGTTTCTTTTCCTTGTAGAATAAGGATTTTACTTTCCTTGTCTTTAATTATTTTATTTCCTTATTAGAATAGGAATTGTAGTTATCAAAGTAGAGACCCTAGGCCTATATAAAGGGTTCTCATGACTTTGTAGAGGAGAATTCACGTTTTTAAAGATTGCCCTAGTTTTACAATAGAGTGTTTTTCTCTATTTTGTCTTCTTTATTCTTGTTTTTGGTTCCAAGCAAGGTGGTGATAGTCTTTATCTTGTTTTTAATTGCGTGTGGTGTTTCTTTATCACGTTAATTGATTCCAAGTGGTGACTTTAGGAACTTTTCATCCAAGAACACGTTTCTTAATTTAAATTCGTTATTTTGATATCCTAGAATGAAAAGTTTCATTGAACTGCTACAGCTTCAATATTTACTTGTTTTGAACGAGTAAATAGTCTTTCTTATAGTTCAGATCGTCATCTTTCACCTCGTTTTTGAATCATCAGATTCCGACTCCTAAAACGTGAGATACGCTATTTCTTGAAATCAGCCTACAAACCACGTTTTTGTTGTAAGATCTTGATCCTGGTAGGTTGGTTCTTTGTTAACTCGAAAAATCACTTCAATTTGGTATCAGAGCTATAATCCAAAGGTTGAGAAATCATCATGTCTACGATTCAACTAAGAGGAAGATTCTTGGTTCAAGAAGATGAAGAAACGAGACAACATAAATCTCTTTTCCACACAAGATGTACCTCCCATGGAAAAGTTTGTTCATTGATTATTGATCGTGGGAGTCACATAAATATTGTTTCGGAGGAGATGGTTATTAAACTTGGTTTGTCAACAAAATTTCATCCATATCCTTACAACATCGAAGTTGAAGATGATATTTTAGAGGTAACTCATCAATGCCTAGTATCTTTTTCTATTGGTAAGATCTATAAAGACAAGATTTGGTGTGACATAGTAAACATGGAAGCTTGTCACTTATTACTTGGAAGACCATGGGTGTATGATAGGTGTGCTAAATATGATGAAGACCTTAATACCTATTCTTTTACAGAGGATGGACGTAAGATTATTTTAGTGCCGTTGAATCCCCAAGAATTTGCTAAAAATCTAAAGTTCAACGATGATTCTTTTTTGACCAAATTACAAATAATTGGTCCAATCAATAGAGAAAAGTCTTTGAACTTCAGTCCAATCAAGAAGGAGGAGCATGAACTGGATCTACAAGTTGAGGATTTACCTCCGAAGTTTGATGATGATCCGTTGGAGCATCCTATATATGAGCTTAAATTTTCACCTAATAGAGATGCTCAACATAATATTAATTTGATTGTTGATTCTATCCTTCCAAACGAGGCAACATATTGCATTAATCCAAAAGTTCATGAAATTTTGCAAACACAAGAGAAATGATTGCTTAAAAAGGAGTCTATAATGGAGGATTTGAGTTCATATTTTGTTCCAGTTTTTTTCATGCTCCCAAAGGATGAATATTTTCAAGAATATGTTGGTACAGGAGATCTCAAAACGAATTCCATCAATGAATATGACCTAGTTAAATATGAGAGTGTTGTTACTGATGAATTCTCAAGAAGATATAATTCGATTTTCAAGATAGATCCAAAGGTACTTGAATTTGACTCTTCTAAGGGTTTTTGTGGTTCTAAATCTGTTTTTTTGGCCATATCCCATAAGCACCACATTGACATGGAGCAGTTTAAGATTCGTGAAGATAAAAAGAAAACAACTTATGATTATAGATTAGTGTTTGAAAATTTATATAGGAAGATTTATTGCAGAAATATTGGTACAAAGTTACTATTGAGAAAGTGGGATTTAGTTCTGCCACATGCTAAACTTTGTTACAATAAGATGAAGCTCTTTGACAAGTTAGAAAAATGCAACTTAGAGCCTGGTGAATATGAGTTCAATCAAATTATGGAAATTGCCAATCTTGTTCTATTTGTGGAGCCTTTAGACTCGAGGACGAGTCTTTCTCAACCAGGGGAGAATGATGTAAAGCAGAATCTATGCTAAGTTTCATTAAATTTGGCCAAGATCATGTTTTAGAACTCAAGTCCAAATAGATGGACTTAATATCAAGAAGCACAAGAAGTCCAAGAAGCTCAAGATTGATTTCAAGAAGCCAAGATTCTTTCCTTCTTAAAATAGAATTTATTTTATTCCTTTTAGAATAGGGATTTTCCTTTTAGTAGGGTTCTAGTTTCTTTTCCTTGTAGAATAAGGATTTTACTTTCCTTGTCTTTAGTTATTTTATTTCCTTACTAGAATAGGAATTGTAGTTATCAAAGTAGAGACCCTAGGCCTATATAAAGGGTTCTCATGACTTTGTAGAGGAGAATTCACATTTTTAAGGCTTGCCCTAGTTTTACAATAGAATGTTTTTCTCTATTTTGTCTTCTTTATCCTTGTTTTTGGTTCCAAGCAAGGTGGTGATAGTCTTTATCTTGTTTTCAATTGCGTGTGGTGTTTCTTTATGTAATGACCCGACCCGTCATTTATTGCATTTCAGTCCCGTAATCCCCGTTGCATGCTTCCCCGTATGTTATATTGCATGTTTGGTGAGTTCGGAGTGTTTCGGATGGGATTTAGATAGAAATGAGACACTTAGTCTCTTATGGAAAGGCTTAAGTTGAAAGAGTTGACTCAAAGTTGACTTTCGGGTTAGAGAGCTCG